TCATAAACAAAGGGATTTAACTCCTAAATGGCAGAGGATTGAGCAGTGAGGCTGCAGGGGAATGTTCTATACACCAAAACTGCTTCATTAAGCTAAAGTTGTTCAGGTGACTATAGTGTCCCTTTAAATCTCTTTAGTCTGCCTAAAGAGGTGGTTTATCAGAGTCCATACAGATTTAAACAGCAACTGGATAAATATTTTCAAAAACATAATATTCAGGGATGTAAATTGTAATTAGTGGGGTAATAGCTTTTTGATCCAAGGAGATATCTGACCGCCATTCTGGGGTCAAGAAGTGTAACGGACCGTTTTGCCCACAAGAGGTTAAAAAACGTTTAGGCGATATTCCCCTTTCAGATGCACCGACAGCTACTGCAATCACCAATCTCCCGAACTGCAAACTACACGAATTCTCCAACTTCCGAAAGGAAACTCACGAATACTGGAAATAGCTGAACAGGAAAAAACCATACAAAAGGTTTACACTCCTGGTAGTCAGCATTCAATCCAATTCCCCCAATAACGAGACAACACTTCGTTTGAGGGTTAAGCAGAATCTGTTTACTGGCACCAAGAGAACCTTCTTTTATGCAGATTTCCCTTAGATAGGACCACCCACAGGGTTTTACAAAACAACCAATCATACATGTATATTACAGAAACACTCCCAGCAATTACATACAAAAATCCTCCCGCTGCCTGTGATATAATTATGGCACAAAATGGTTTAACATAATTAACACAGGTAGGAAAAATACAGTTTTTACACATATCCTGTAACTTTAAAACCACACATCCAATCAGCAACCTTTAAATATAAACATAACCAAAAATCAGCCAAATTGGTCCATTTGTTCAAAAGATAGATCGAAGTCCTTTGTGACCAAATGAAGCATGGCTTTTCTGCCCAAAACCAGTTCCACGGAGTCTTCTATCCTGGAGATAATTGGGAAGTTACCCAATTATCTCCAAGGACAGAGGCAAAACTCCATTGAACACATGGCAGCAAAAGACAATAAAATACATAAAAATATATAACTGTGCAGCCATTGCACAAAACACGTACATTAAACATATGCCCAGATAGCTCAGATCTGAGCGCACATTATTACTGAATGGCGCACACACATACAGTTCAATTGCCATGGAGCCAAAGTCTTTCCCATAGTCTTTCATTATACGAATGGGCTCCATGGCATAGCTATCTGGGGTATCACCGCTCAAACAGGGCAAGCACTGAATGGCCCAGCTTTCGTGTCTTTACAGGGGAAAATCAAGTGTTTCAACATGGGGCCATAGTCTAAAGGCAGCAGGCGGGCAACCAGGCTTCTCCAGTGCATAGTGGCGAGGTTGGTTCCGCCACAAGAAGATTTTAACATTTTTTTTCTAGTTTATTGCAAAATTGGAAGCGCTTCAAACTATTTTTTTGCCTTCTATTGGCTCAACAGCAAAACCAGTTGTGAGAAATGCTGAACTTGATGGACACATGTCTCCATTCAGCTGTGTAACTATGTAATTTTAAATAAATGGTACACCATCTTCAAAGATCATGTTTTTCTCTTCTGGGCCTCTTCCATCATGTTAATCATTACAATTGCTGTCTATTTCATAGCTATTACTAAGACATGATTTCAACAAGAGTTGTTGTAAGTGCTAAGTTGCAATGCTAACCCCATTTTTTTACTCTTTTTCTACAAAGAGTTAACAAAAAAAACCTGCTACACTTATTGCAGAAAAGGGGTCATATTTGCTGTAAACTAACACACATCGTATATTACTGAGGGAAGAAACAAGCAGTGGCACTGAAGCACACTGAAAACTTAATTTCTCTATGACCTGTAAGAGAAAAAAAGTCACAAATCAGTAAACCAGTTCTAAATCAGTGAATCAAAGTTGGTGTAAGTGTCACTGGCAGTAGCAGCTAGGCAAGAGGAACTTGCAGTGGACCTGCTGTATGCCCTAATACTGTCTTGTTCTGCCTTTTTCCTCAGTAATAAGACTCGCGGCGTCTTTTCAGATGTAGGTTCCAGGGCCGCCATCAGGGGGTGACAACCATGATGGTTGTCACGGGCCCGGCGGCCCGGGCGTCCAGGCCCCACATGGAGCGGCGAAACTGCCGCAGATGCATCTGCACCGGGGCCCATCAGGTGGCCCAAGCATTTAGGGCCCTATATCTTCAGGGGCCCGGTCAGCGCTGCGGCCGGGTAATAGTGCGACTGGGCCCCTTTAAAAAAAAAAAATTGCGGCTACACCGCAAGTGCTGCTGGGAGAAAGTGACGGCCGGTAACTTCCTTCTAGCTTACTTCGCGCGGGCGGAGAGCGGAGAAGAGGGAGAACGGAGAACACCAGAGGCATCCACTCCCATCATCCCCAGCCACCCTCCTGCAACTTAAAGGTAAGAGGAAGGTGGCTGATAAATGAAGTGTGTGTGTGTATATGTATATCAGTATGTATGTGTACGTCAGTATGTATATATGTCTCTGTGTGTGTCAGTATGTATGTCTGTGTGTATGTCAGTATGCATGTATGTCTGTGTATGTCAGTATGCATGTATGTGTATGTGTCTATCTGTATGTCTATCTGTAAGCATGTGTGTCTGTATGTATGTCAGTATGTATGTCTATGTATGTCAGTATGTATATATGTCTGTGTGTGTGTGTGTGTGTCAGTATGTATGTGTGTATGTATGTCAGTATGCATGTATGTTTTTGTATGTCTGTGTGTGTGTATGTCAGTATGTATATATGTCTGTGTGTATGTCTGTGTGTATGTATGTGTGTATGTATGTCAGTATGCATGTATGTCTGTGTATGTCTGTGTATGGCAGTATGTATATATGTCTGTATGTATGTCAGTATGCATGTATGTCTGTGTGTGTATGTATGTATGTCTGTATGTATGTGTTTTTCTATATGTGTGTGTGTGTATGTCAGTATGTATGTCTGTGTGTATGTCAGTATGTATATATGTCTGTGTGTGTGTGTCAGTAGGTATGTGTGTATGTATGTCAGTATGCATGTATGTCTGTATGTATGTGTCTATCTGTATGTGTGTGTATGTCAGTATGTATATATGTCTGTTTGTCAGTATGTATGTATGTCTGTGTATGTGTCTGTAATTATGTATGTGTGTGTGTGTATGTCAGTATGTATGTCTGTGTGTGTATGTCAGTATGTATGTCTGTGTATGTGTATGTCAGTATGTATGTCTGTGTGTGTATGTATGTCAGTATGCATGTATGTCTGTGTGTGTATGTCAGTATGTTTGTACGTGTAACTTTTCTGGTTAAATACTTTGTTATTATTATTATTACACTTTTGCATAGTGAAGTTTTTATTATTGTGATTTGAATTATCATGTACTAGATTTTATTTGGTTCTTTCATGTGGGAATGGAGCTGTTTTCTCCCTTTGTCATTTTATATGGCGTAATATATATTATCTGTTTAGTTATAGATTAGACCATTTGTGAACATTCATCTATGTACTCCCCCATTAATCCCGTGTATGTATTTGGACCATGGTTATTATTTATTTTTTTGTAAATCTTGTTTATTGAGTCATGAAAGTCAGAAAAAATTAGGCTCGCTAGCCAGCAAAAGGTACAAAGTTAACAATATAAGTCATAAAAAACAAGCGTAAATGCAATATAATAACAGCGTAACAATTCACGCTAGGATCGTAAACTCCAATGACTGGTCAGAGTATAAGTTCTGTGTTCCCTTTCCGTGTTTGGAAATGTTGTAGGCGAGCTTTGCCCTAGAGTGATGTATCAGTGTATGTGAGTATGTATGCATGTGTACTCGCAAAATACAGCAACTCTTGGTGTTAACACAGCGAGAGGACGAGGCCCATCAGCCTCAGACATGATCTAGGGTGTCTAATAATAAATTGTCACCATATAAGGTATAGAGTAGGCTACCTAGTAGCTTATCGGAGTGGGGAAGACCCACAGGTCCCGTTAATAACTCCATATAAGCTCAAGCGAGTGGAGATAGGGTGGTGAAATACGTAACCTTTTCCGTCATGGTGACGTGAACGTAACCTTTTCTATTTCCTGGGATGTGTGTTTGAGAAGCTTCCACCTGTTTTAGGGCGCTTAGGTGCCCCTTTCTCCATAAATCATTATCTGAGCGCTTATCACTCCGAGGTCAGGAATCCTCTGCTCACTGCTTACTTGTGCATATACACAGGGCCGCCATCAGGGGGTGACAACCGTGACTGTTGTCACGGGCCCGGCGGCCCTGGGGGGCCCGGCGGCCCTGGGGGGCCCGGACTGCTCTGGCAGTCCTGGGCCCCACTTTCTTTCTCTGCACACATAGATAGTGAATCTCGCTATCTATGTGTGCAGCTGCGGACCCCCGGCTCCCTGTTACCGCAGAGGGGGCCCAGGCCTCACACAGCTTCTCCTCCTGTCTTCTCTCTTCTCATAACTCTCGCGAGACCCGGTTACCATGGCAACGCTCCGCGGGTCTCGCGAGAGTTATTAGAAGAGGAGAAGCTGAGTGCTGCCTGGGCCCCCTCTGCGGACGGTAACAGGTAACCGGGGGGCCCCATGCCACCGGGCCACCACAGATGGAACCTCCCCCCTCCCTGGATACAGGTAAGCAGGGAGGGGGGAGACACATTTAATTAAATTAATTCAAAATTAATGTTAAAATGCCCCTTCCTCCCCCTCCCCCCCCAGATTGCACATTTACACACACACTGCATACACTAACACAACACACACACTGCATACACTAACACACACACCATACACAACACACACACACACACACTGCATACACTAACACAACACACACACACTACATACACTAACACAACACAACACACTGCATACACTAACACAACACACTGTATACACCAACACAACACACACACACTGAATACAATAACACACACAACACACACTCTGCATACACTAACACAACACACACACTGCATACACTAACACAACACACACACTGCATACACTAACACAACACATACACTGCATTCGCTACACATTAACACACTCTGCATTCACTACACTAACACACACTCTGCATCCGCTACACACTAACACACACTCTGCATCCACTATACTGACACACACTCTGCATTCGCTACACATTAACACACTCTGCATTCACTACACTAACACACACTCTGCATCCGCTACACTAACACACACTCTGCATCCGCTACACACTAACACACACTCTGCATCCGCTACACACTAACACTCTCTGCATTCACTACACTAACACACACTCTGCATCCGCTACACACTAACACACTCTCTGCATTCACTACACATTAACACACTCTCTGCATTCACTACACTAACACACACTCTGTATCCACTACACACTAACACACTCTCTGCATTCACTACACATTAACACATTCTGCATTCACTACACATTAACACATTCTGCATTCACTACACTAACACACACTCTGCATTCACTACACATTAACACACACTCTGCATTCACTACAAATTTAACACACTCTGCATTCACTACAAACAAATTTACACACACTCTGCATTCACTGCATTAACACACACACTACATTCATTACACTGACACACTCTGCATTCACTACACACTAACACACACTCTGCATTCACTAAACTATGTATACACTATGGATTCACTATACTGACACACACTCTGCATTAACTGTACACACAATGCATCTGCTACACAAACACACACTCTGCATTCACTGTACAAACAGTATCTAATACACGCAAACACTACATCCATTACACACATTCTAATTCACTTCCACTATACACACCACATTCAGTCCTGCATCATTGTCAGCGGACCAGGTAGGGCGTGTGCGGGCCCGGGAGGGAGGGAGGGAGGGAGGGGGGGGGGGCCCAAACCTTGTGCTTTGTCAGGGGCCCCAAAATTTCTGATGACGGCCCTGCATATACATGCTGTATGTAGCCCATTTCTTGTACAGGCGCCTACCCTTCCTCCACAACAGGCACTTATAGCAGAGCTCGAGTATTGCCCACGATTCACTACCCCCACCCACACCGTTGGATTACCCGTGTTTAGCTAGTGCGTGTTGTCGTCAGTGTTCTGCCGGGGGTGAGTGTCATGATTATTATTTAAATACATGTTTACTTATTGACAATTCACATTACAGCGGTATATTCGTTTTTCACAGTTGGGTAATTTGTTTAAATGCATTGTTTAGTAGATTTGCCCCTAAGGGAGAAGCAGAATTTTCCATTACCCAATAGTTTGAATGTGTATATATAGACTATGGTTATCATTTAAACATTATTTAATGTTAGATTCTATGGCAGCTATATTAAGGAAAATGTATTCATACTTACCGTGATTTTCTTTTCCTGTCTATTATTCATGGCAGCATTTAATATATGGGTTAGCTCCTCCCTCCAGCCAATAGGACAGGAATACCAATTAAAGAATTCAAATTCAATTATCCCTGAGGTATAAGAGATCCGAGAATACTAGGTTCCTCAGTCTAGTAGCAAGCTGATCCGACTTAATAAAGGGGTGGGAAACCCAAATGCTGCCATGAATAATAGCCAGGAAAAGAAAATTACGGTAAGTATGAATACAATTTCCTTATTTCTGGCTAATCATGGCAGCATTTAACATATGGGGAATACCCAAGCAGTAAATACCACAGGGAGGGAGTAGATGCCCAGAGACTTTTATTTGCTTTGAGAAGAACAAGAATTTAGGACCGAATGGCCAAAATGCAGATTAGAATTTGAAGAAATATCGAATTTGTAATGACTAATAAATGCTCTCTGGTGATACTCCAGACTCTGCATCCCATGAAGTGGCAATCGATCTGGTTGAGTGTGCTCTTATACCTTTTGGAACTGGAACTCCTTGGACCTTATAAACTCATGAAATAGTGGAAACAGTCCAGGAACGGAGAGTAGATACAGAGGCCGCTTCACCCTTACAGCAGCCCCAAGGGACAACAAAGAGTTGAGGAGACTTCCTCGACACCTTAGTTCATTGAATGTAAACCAAAATACACCTCTTAAGGTCCAGCATGTGAAACTTTTCTTCCATCTCATTAGACGGATTCTGAAAGTAGACTGGAAGAACAATTTCTTGGTTCAGGTGAAAAGGAGAGACCACCTTAGGTAGAAATTCTGGTCTGGGACGGAGAATGACCTTGTCATGATAGAAAATGGTATAAGGTTCTTCTACCAAAAGACCCTTTATGTCCGCCATCCTTCTAGCTGAAACTAAGGCTAATAGAAGCAGAGACTTTTGCGTCAGGGATAACATAGGAATTTCGTCCAACGGTTCGAAAGGCTGCTCCATCAAGGCCTGTAAGACCAAAGGTAAATCCCAGGGACACTTGTAAACCCGGATAGGTGGTCTAATCCTAAGAACTGCTTTCATAAAGCGGATTACCATGGGGTTTTCAGCCCATCTGATATCTGACATGGCAGAGATAGCAGAACAATTAACCTTGAGGGTGTTCAGACTTAGACCTCTATCCAACCCATTCTCTTACAGCCTTCAGTGAAGCGTATGAAGTCATATCTTGAAGATTCTATGACCCTACTTCACTTCTTAAATGATTTTAAATAGGAAAACACATACATTTTAGTGACTTGTGATGTACAATCCTTATATACCATCATACCTCACGATAAAGGCTGTTTAGCAGTTGAAAAAATCTTGAAAGCTGAAAAGAACATTTCAGACCAACAAGTAGATTTTATTATCCAGGGTATCAAAATTATTTTAAACAACAATTATTTTTGGTTTTTAGACTCTTTTTATCTACAAAAACAGGGCATTGCTATGGGGACCAGGTTTTCCCCTAGCTATGCCAACCTTTTTATGGCAGGTTGGAGGGCATGGCTGGCAGACAAACCTGGTTACATATTTTAGAAATATTGACGACTTGTTTTTTATCTGGGATGGCCCAGAAGACTCTCTTAATCAGTTTTTACAATATTTAAATTATAATGACAAAGGCATTGTTTTAACTTGGGATTATAGTAAATCCTCTATTCACTTTTTAGACCTAGAAATTTTTATTAAGAATGAACAAATTTATACTAAAACTTTTTTTTTTTTAAAGTATGCACTAATAATGTTATTGACGTGTCTAGTTGCCATCACAAACCCTGGCTACAAGGAATACCTAAGAGCCAATTTCTCCGTTTGCGTAGAAACTGCTTCCTCACACAAGATTTTGAGGAACAGTCTCAACTATTGTCCAACAAATTCCTTCAAAAAAATTATCCTAGAAATAACTTACCAATAGATCTGAATTATTAGAATATAATAGCAATAAAGAAGCTAAAACCGCTCCGGTATTGCCAATTATTTTTTACTACAATAACAAAAGTAATGTTATGAAGAAGATTATAAAGAAACATTGGTATATATTAAACAGGATGAGACTTTGGCTGGAATTATCCCTGAGAAACCACAAGTTATATTTAGAGGGGGACCCAGTTTTAAGTCTATCCTTACAAGTATTTATACTAAACACAAACATATACTTTTAAACCCCAGCCCCACCACCTTTTTAACTAAACCTAGCGGTTTTTTTAAATGCAATAGATGTATAGTTTGCAAACGTACCAGTGATATTATTAAATCTAAAACTACATCGTTTTTATCTACAATTACACAGAAAACATACCAGATTTATTCACTGTAATACGAAAAATGTAATTATCTTCTAGAATGTCTGTGTGGGCTCCAATATGTTGGTATGACTACCAGAGACCTAAAAACAAGATTAGCTGAACATTGTAGAAATATCTTAAAAGGCTATGAGAATCACTCAGTCTCAAAACATTTTTTACAACACGGAAAAAATCCAAAACATCTTAAATGTATTGGCATAGACACTTGCAATGTCCCATGGAGAGGTGGAGACATTAAAAAAGTTTTAGGTAAAAAAGAAATGGAATGGACATATAATCTAAAAACCCTCACCCCTACTGGTCTTAATATTGACTTTGATCTTTTTCATTTCTTATAAACAATATTATTTAAGAATAAAAATTCTTATTAATTTCATACATTTTTCTTTTATAAAACTTTTATAGTTTTTTTAATATATCTTAATATAGTGTAAAGTGCTTGTATGCATATAATTTTATTAATACTATTCTTATGTTCATTGTAATTTTTATACATTTATTTCATGGTATTTACTTTACTATAAGTTCAAAACTAGCTGGTTTTATGTGTTTTTCCATTTTTCAGATTGTCAGTATGAGTGCACAGTTTGGTGATTCTTGCTGTCCCCCACGGGGTATGCTTGTGCAGGCAGACAGCAAGCTTATGTGCTTTAGCTGTGGCTGTCTCTCCTACCTCCCGGTATACTCGGGCAGCCCCTCCCATCATTTGATGACGCGTGCGTTCCATTAAGACGGAACGCATGCGTTTCACCGAGCATCACGTGACGCGGAAGTGTTTCTTACGTCACGTGACGCATGATTGCTCTTTTTAAAGCATTTTTACACATTTATAACCCTCGTTTTAATATTTTAAACTATGTATCTATCTTATGTTAACCATATCTTTGTAATAATTATTGTTTCAACTATTGAAAATTTTGTTGATTTTGATGACGTCATTTTGGCGGGAATTTTAAATCTACGGTATTACTATACCCTGTATAAACTTATGTATGTCAGGTGTGCCCCCCCTTTTACCTCTATCTACTTGAAGAAGCCTGTGAGGTGAAACGCGTTTAGATATTGTTCTTATTATTTCATAATAAAGAAATTTTATTGGCATAAAATACTTTATTGCCATTTTCTTTTCTTTCTCTTACCTGACTATACATTGTGGGGATATTTATGGGATAATAATAGTAACAGTGAGAATTGCCCACTAATTCAATTCTCAGATCCCAAATATCGTTATCGTGTTAAGTGAGAAGTATATCATATAAATAATATTCACAATTTTATAAAAATAGATTTTATTTTTAATAACAAATTAATTAATAACATGTAACATGCGTGATAATAATCAATGAATATTCAGTATAAAATGATATGCAATACAAAGGAATGGCTATACAGATTTCAATGGCTAAATAGCATTATCTGTCAAGACTTACACGATTTATGACTATCTTTAACACAGGCTGAAAAAGTTTCACTCAGAGAACAGAATTCTTCAGAGTGCAGCGTAAGGTCGTAAAGTTTAGCTGACAGTTAGAATAACCCTTTCAATGCTGGCTAGATCTCCTAGGTAGTTAAGATCTATTCTTAAGTAATTTTAAATAAAATAACATTTAAACCAGTTCATTAGTCATTTCCTGGAACCATCCAATAAGAGAATCTACCATATTATTTTTACAAAAGCAGAATTTTAATTTGTCTAAAAGATATCTTATCTTAATTTAGAGCAAATC